TGTACCTCCCTTCCTATCCGCTAAAACACACAAACTCACTAGCATCATAACATAATACACACATTTACACTAACTAACCATCATAAACTGCTATTAACTGAAAAGCCAATATCCCGATGTGTTCACTTCAACATCCTAGGGCTGGTTTTAGAGTGGCTGAGCTAGATCCACTGGGCTTTCTGGTGCTCTTGTCTTCTAAAAGCTCCTATAGAGTCCTTTTTGTTAAGGGTCCTTGAGAGTTAAATGTTGTTTGATTATTAGTGGTCTGTTGGTACCAGGGATAAACAGACCATTCATGAACTTCCACCTTTTAACAAGCTTTGAAAAGAATAGCTCGTCGATATATAGTGGGTGGGCTATTTTCACAAACATTAATATCTTGATATTATGGAGATTTTTTTGTAATATAACTGAAATGTGAATAAATGTGGCAGTAAATGTCTTGTTTTGAGGTTCAATTGTCAAAGTGCATAAATAATACTTTTTTGAAGAATTACATTGCGACTTTCTTAATATTTCTAGGATAAAGATTATATTTTATTTTGTATATTTTCAAGTCATTTGATATTATTGATATTATTATGTATTGGTGCTGCCTGAAAAATGAATTGCTTTGAACTTCGGTATAATAAAGTATTATCTATCTTGTAGACATATTTAGTAGATGTATGTCACCCACCTTTACATAATAGGTCCGTGTACATTACGTATGTGGATATCCCTTAAAACTGGTGTTAAAAGTTTACAAGATCTACTTTTTGATTACGTAGATTACAAAATGCATTGGAATTTCATTTTCACAATGCCCTTTATATTGGAGCATAATCATTTTATGAATATGTCATCTTTTCAGCCCCTCAGATAAAGCCTCAAAGGCTACATGAGTTTTCTGGTGGAGGATCAGCTACCTATTTGTCTTGCTTTGCCTGGAATGTTCCATTATATGGCATTCAACTTTTCTATCTAGCAATTATTTATTACAGGGGTTTCTATTGCTCAAAAATACAATAATTCCTTCTGTCAATGGGAACGACTCTCCACAGATCTGAACTGTAATGTAATGTAGTGCTGTAACCTACTTGTCTCCCTTGTGAAAGATAGGTTTAATATATACTGTGAAACATTCTAGACCCAACAATAATATTTCTCTGGAGATAAGCAGGTGACAGACCCTCCACTATAAATGTTACACAGTGCCCCTTTAATGCAATAGTGAGCAAACAGTTGTTTAAAAGTATCTCTATAGCAATAAATGTATTTTGAGTACAGCCCTAACTTATAACATACTATTTCTATCATCAGTTATTTTGCACTGGTACAGAATCCTGAGTGTGTTTAGTGGTATAGACTAATCTTCTCTATATTTTTGTCATGTACCCATAAATAATCCATTAATTCACTTTACAACAAAAACTCATCCCACAATGGCCTATGTTGAGCGATTTAATGGCGCTCCACATACACACACGTACACCTCCAGTCTGCAGATGGAGGAAGCCAGTCCTGCCTGTGTCTGTGAGGATGTGAGCTCCAGTGATGGCACATTGACGATAGGACCCATGACAGCACTACGCATCAGCTCAAACCAAAAAAACTTTTAATTCAATGCGTATTGTTTAAGTGCAACAATGGCCCGGGTCCCAGTGTGGTTTAGGGAGGGGTGAGAAAGGTGAGTGTGTCCGTGCTTTTGTGTTTTGGGCTGGGGATGATCCCGTGGGTTCTATGGGATCAGAAATATTGTTATGGTGCGCGGGCTACATCCGCTGTTTTTTCAGGTAATGAACAAAATGTCAGACAATGAGTGGGCAGAGGAGGAAATCGTGCCATAAAAACTAACAAGGGATCCAGAGTAATGAAAGGCATGCTTATACAATGTAGTAATAATATAAAACTGCATTTATTTTGAAACACTGTTGTAAAAATAAATAATACTGTTAATCTTAATTCAAAGATTTTGACAGTTAACATTCAATAACCAACAACCAAATAAGAAAGCTACCAATCAGAGAGTTCTAGTTAAGCTAGATGTTCAATCTTCCAATAGGGAAAGATTTTTTTATTCATGTTTTAATACATACCAAATGTATTCAGTTGAACCAAATATGACCATAGTTTGGTTACAGAAATAGAAATGGTCCAGATCAAAGGTGGAATTCATTCCTCAGGCGTTTTGCATTTTGACATTATCAGACAGATCATGAAATACACTTAAGATAGGCCTACAGTACTTAGCATTTCCCTAGCCCATTTGGCCTATGCTAATGGAGTGTACTCATGCAGAGCAGAAGATCTTAATGAGAAAACCTTTGGCTGGTGATCAGTGCTATTGATCAGGCTGAGCCCCAGGTTTAAACAGGGCTAATTGATCAATCACTGCTGGTTGGTCTGGATTAATGGAAACTGACTGGTGCTTGGCCCCTCCTCGACATGGGGCCACACAACGTGGAAGCACAGAGGAAGGAGCATGCCAATACTAATAAGGTCAGAATATTAAACATACACAGGGAAAAGTGAAACATTACTCAACTGTTTCCCCAGACAATTGTGAATTTACTGGTAATATATGCAGTATAATTTATTCACAGAAAACGTTATATATATTTAAGTTGTTTATGTTTACATTTTGAGCCAATGAGAAAGCAAAATGAGGTCCTCACTTTTGAGTTCATGATCCAACAACTAAAACCCAATAAACCCAAAAAAATATCATACGGTGTTTCTAAGTTTAGGACAGCTATAAAGGCATTCTCAGGTCAATATTGATTAAATATTCAAGAGAGTATTCTACAGCTATTATCTTTAAATTAAGCGTGTACATGCTAAAATAAAATAATCATGAAATTGCCAACATTTCTTTTTTCCAAACCTCTTCAGAGATTACATAGCTATTTCAAACTAAGTAAGCGTAGAAGAGCCAGACCAACAGTTGTCATGACACCAGCACTGTCCCTGCCAGGAAACCTCCACCACACCGGCCAAAACAGGAAGCCCTCGCAGCACACGCAGCCGTCCCAGTGAGCGCTGTGCTGAGAGCAGACTGGCCCTTCACAGAGCCGTCCTCACTCAGGGACCTGCATGTGTGTGCGTGTGTCTGTGTCAGTGTGTGTCTGTGTGTGTGTGTGTGTGTCTCTCTCTCTCTCTGTGTCTTGTGTGTGTGTATGTGTGTGTGTGTGTGTCTGTGTGTGTGTGTGTATGCGTGTGTCTGTGTGTGTTTTGTGTGTGTGTCTCTGTGTGTGTGTCTGTGGGCTCCCAGCTGCTCTGCCGAGGGACTCCCAATCGCGTGTGAGTGAGACGCAGAGGGAGCTGCAGTAACGGGGCTAAATTAAAACATTCAACAGGAGGAAAAAGGGAGAGATCAGGAGAGCCATGGAGGTGTTTTGGCAGTAGCAAGTGTATTTTTGTACGAGTTATATAATCTTTGATTGTGACTTATAAATTCCTTTATTTGATATGTATATGTGTATCTGTCTATTTTTTTTTTTTTTTTTACTGCTGCTATAATTAAGCACACGGTTTATCATTTAGGTGCACAATGCAACTGTAATGTAACTTGCTTTTACTCAATTACAGGCATACATGCTTTGAAAAACATGCATTGTTACTGTGAGCAGGGTCGACTATCCATAGTTCTGACCTGTAATTTGGCCACAAAAAGTACATTTAATGTCAAAATATTACAATGTCTAATTTTTTTAAATTTGTTTGGGGATTGCTTTTCATTAAGTCAATAATTTATTTATAATCTTAAAGAAGAAAATGTATGAAGAAGTGAAGTGAATTAGCTAGCACAAATCTTCCTAACCTGCACACTCCAGAGCCGTCCACAGAGTGAACTTTACCATCTCCCTGTGCCCTGCACATAAACACTAACAGCCCTCTTTAACAGTGCGATGGCTCTGCGGACTGGGACTTCCACTAACCTCGGGTGTGAACTTAATTGTGTATACTCAGGTATAGGGTTTCCAACCTGTGGAGCTCAAAGAGAAACAGACGCTGTGAACTTGACAATGAGTGAGGGAGAGGGGGAGATAGGGAGAATAAGAGGAGAGGGACCACCCAACAGCTGAGAAGAAAAATAAAGCAGGGTGGAGAGAGGAAAGTCAGATCTGATCATGGCTAACCTGTCACAGAGGTTCAGCGGTAGTAGCGTGCACTAAGGGCCAAGAATATGAGGTATGGTAAAAGTGAATTACATTGGGACTGGGTTTAATAATTTTAGGAGCACGGAGGTTAATGTTTATATTGAGCTTGAGAGCATATTTTTATTGGTAAAACAGTAGAGAAGAAGAACTCAAAGCTGTTTTACATTACAGCGTGATTTAAAAAAATACTATATGAAAAAGTATAACCATAACAGTGTTCAGAATGTATTCTAAGACCTTGCTAAAATTAAGCTAATAACTAATTCTAACTATTCAAATGTGTTACTGATAGTGACCACTAGAGGGACAGTAACAGGGTTAGATCAGTATGCAAACATGTTGGTTATTACAAAGAGAGGTCAATGATAATTAGTGCATTTGAGTGTTTAATATTGCACAAAATATTTGATAATGATAAAGTATAATTTGTTATTTAATTAAGTTTTTTTTTGTGTGAACACCTTTGTATGTGATTTATAAATAAGCAGTACTGGTAATGTTATTATTATTATTTACTAAGGGTTTAAATTTAAAATGCTTAAATTGTTTTAGCTGTAAAATGTGTAAATTGGGGAGCCTTTCACCACATAACAGTGGTCTTTTGTTATTCCCATCAAAAGTAAATGAACAGTGATGTTTTGAGAGCAGGTCCTGCTGAGTGCTCCTGTTGACTCTGTTAACCCAACAAAGTAATCTCTCAACCCCTCACCTCGGTCTGTTTTTGTCCTGGGGTCAGAGGTCAAATGCCGCTGTTGACCTTCTTGAACCACCCTGTTACCCAAAGCTCAAAGTCCCAGCGCTGGTTTGACTGACATGAAACACAGTATTTATGGCTCTACATCAGGAGGAGGCACGTACCTTTCTGGACTTGATTTGAGTGGCACTGGAAGTGTGGCCAGGAGGATCTTCTTTTCTCCCTGGAGCAGAGGGCATGGCCACATGACCTGCAGACAGTCAAGCACACTTAGGCTCAGACTTAAACAAACTCTTGATCCACATGAGAAATTATTTGGACACAGTAGCTCACACATTACAGTATATTGTAATAACAAAGAGAAAAATAGGAATAGTATAATACATTCTAAATGAGAAGCAGAATTAAGAGACTAGAGTAAAAAAAAAAAAGTCATAATTATAGTAAGAAAATATTCAGCTATATACAAGAGGTTGTGAGGAAAACAGTACTAAAAAGTTATTGACAAACAGACTAACAAAAGCAGGTTAGAGCTTAGACCTGCTACTAAGAATTAGGTTACAGTTTACAATAATGTCACCTTAATTAGATAAAACATTCAGAAAGACTTAATTTATAATGAACAAATTGTTTATTAATAATGTATTATAATTATTCAGAATTAGTAACTGCTTAAGGAGTAAGGTATTAAGGATAACTAGGTGTATGTAGTGAGATTTTACACACTTTTAACCAAGTAAAAGTTGAAAAATCCTGACTATAGGCTTCTAGATTGACAATCTTCACAAATGTAGTGTTTTATTGAGAAATATTTTAAAATATATATATATATTTTTGGACATTTTGACATAATGATTGTGGGGTCTTTGTAATAAAAGCTCAAGCATGTGTTTCAGAGCCTGTATTGTCCAGCTATTGATTACTATTACCAAAATATAATTTAATAGTAGACGATTATTCTGATTAATCTTTGGAACCCTTCTAGTGCTATATGTAGTCTACTGAATAAATGCATGCGTGATTTTAACTTTTATATGAAAATACGGCATGATTATATTTGATATTTTGGCTGAACGAAGGGAAAGGAAACAAAACCATCCAAAAGCAACACCACATAGAATTGGATCAGGTCTGACACATTGACGCTTGCCACATTCACAAAGATCCTTAATTTGATGGGAAAAAATGCTAATATCCCATTGCAATAATATTTCCAGTAAAAGGGCAATACATTTGATTTAGCAATTCAAATACTCTAATTCCGGAAAATGTCTTAAATTACAACCAGAATTTGGACTCCTAATGACAGGCCGTCTATAACAAGAGCCAATATTTCTTACAGTAACAGGCACATTTGACCCAATTATGAAAGAAAAGCATGCGGTAAGAGCAGGGATGACCCAGAGGTGGAGGATTATAAATTGCAGCCAATTAGGCCCAAGAAGAGGAGCTAAGACAAGCGTGGCTAATGATCCAGTATTCATCAACTCCTGACACTCATTTCACATTTGAGGTGTTTAGACCAGGATCCGCTCACACTGGCCCGCACTGGCCTGCTCTGATTGGGCAGAGCTGCAGGGCTAAGTGTTGTTCAAGGACGCCGGACAGATTACAGCTGATGGACAACAAGGAGGTGGAAGAAAAACAGCAAACAAGCTTATAATTCACAATGTTTATATTATATACATGTTATTTATGATATCTACTACGAGTGATAATTAACTCAGTGTTGATGTGCTGAATATTCATAAAGTTTTACACATTAATGAATGATTATGTAAACTTGTCAATCTAAGATCATTAGTGCATGACTTTTGACCTTTTTGTTTCATTCATATTTTACCAAAATGGAACATATGGGCCTGATTTTTATTGTTTAGAGTTTCATCATTTCAAACTGTTAAACAATGCACTGGTGTTGTTTTGCAATTACCCGTGTGGTAAATTTCTATTATTTTAGAAAGAAAATAAATATAAAATTAATTGAAAACTTCAAATGCAGTGCAAAGGGTATTTAGGGTTAGGGTTATTTCTTTTACGGTACCAAGTGAATACCAAACATGTGACTGTAATACACATACACAAAAATCATAATTTTTGTCTGTATCAAAACATATCCTTTCACAGGGTAAGTAATCAATATGATTAAAAAATAAATAAATAAAAATAAATCACAACAATCATAAGATACTGTATCACATCTGCCAGTACCAAATACAGCTAAACCGTCTGTTTAAGGTAGAGCATCTGATAAAAAAACAACTAACCAATATAAGGGGCTATATAGCATGAGGTTGAGAGTGTTATTTTGCACACTTGAACCTAAAGTTGCATATGGAGTCCCAGTAGCTCATAATAATATATGGACACAATCTGACTAGGCATTTTTATAGGTGATTCGCCCCACCCATGTGTCCATCACTTGCTCTGCTGCAGGCCTCATCTGCCTGGAGTAATCACTGCTGATCTGAAGGTGGGCTGGACACATCCAGCACCAAAACTCATTTCACTGTGACGCTCTGTGACCCCCGCCTGCACAGCAAACAGCCACACAGCCCACTGCATATCTTCATAAGTCTCTGTCTCATCTACATGGGAGGGGGAGGGGGTGGGGCTCTGCTCTGAGGGTACAGAGGTCAGCGCTCTAAAGCCGTGGATCATTCAAAGGTGTCAGAAGTGCTCTTTGGGACAGCAGATGAGGAGGACTTATGGGGCACGGCAGGGAGACATTAAAGTGTGTCCTGTGTAACTAGATTCTCATCCAAAGTTTAATTCACAGAGCTGGCTAACATCCACAAACCACCACCATGGAGTGCATTTGCATTTGATTATAACCTAATTATAAATGCCACACACTGATACTGTACCAGGCCTGAAGGGTGATTTGGTGACTGCAGCGCACCAGGCGGTGTACTGTTAGAGTTGGTTAGATGTGCACATTTTTGTCATTCACAAGTAAACACACAGAGGACTGACTGTGTTTGGCATGAAGTAAACAGCTTTTAATAGCATCAAACAGACTGCATTTGGTGTGCAACCATCTGTCCAGTCCATTGTGTCTGCTGTGACTTTTTAGATGCCTGTTAAACAACAGCTGACGTATGGGCAGTGGTCATCATTGTCTAGACCCCAGTCAAATTTCTTCAGTAATTTTCTTGTAGTAGCCAACATTAATTTAATACAAATATTTCCAATTTGTTACTCATAGTGTATTATTCATAATAATTATCATATATAAGTGACTGCATGACATGGAAAATCCTATTCTATTTTCTATAAAATGTTAATAAAGTGCAGTAAAGGGGTGAAAGAGTGCACTAAAGTGTGGTGTAGAGGGTTGAGGGCCAGGTCCAGGAAGTTTTCACTCCTTCCTTCCCATGGTGCCCCTGGCCTCCCTAACTTCCAGTCACAGGCTGAGAGAAGCCAGACACAACCGGATAATAACCATCTAATAAGACAATATTGAAAGCAGGCTGGCGTTTGTACACTGGAAGTTAGACAGGCATCTGCACACATGATCAGAAAACTCACTTCGATGTTTTGTATAAGAAAGTGCCAGGTGTATTCAAAATGCATGAAAAGGTATAACTTAGTTTTCAATTCAAACATGTGGACAAAAATGTCTTTAAGGTTTGGACACACAAAAATAACAAAGTTCCCCTGACGGATCTTCTTACCCTCTTGTGCCACCATCAGAGAAAAACGTTAGCACATGGCAAAAGATACCCATCATTTCTCAGTGTATCAATTATCAATTTAGAAAGTGGAACTGTATCCCCTTTGGTTCTGTGTGCTCAGTATCTGGTTGGTGACCTTAAGGAAATGAGCCTGAGATAGAGGGAGACTGCAATGAGCCAAGAGACTGAAATAATAAATTTAAAAAATGGTCCTGTGTTTCTTCAAAGTGTAATCTTTTATATCATATACAAACAGATAAATTCAGATTTTATGTAATGCTTGCCTTTAGGACAAGAGCAGTACCTGTAGTTCAAATCATAGAATCATAGAACATCTTCAGTGACTAAAACACATCACAAAGTACCATTAAGTCTTTCCACTCCTGTGACCTCTTGTGCGTCTGTTGGATATCTACATATCTAGTATTTAGTACAAAACTGCAAGAAAATGTCAACTTGCCTTGCCACAAGAGAAGAGAGTGAACCAGACAAAGACCAACCTTTTCCAGTCAAATGAGAATCTATCTCTGTGCTGGTTTCTTTGGTTTGAGTGAAGATGGGCAGAGCAGCTGCAGCCTGCCGCTACACTGCTCAGCCAGGGGAAGGCAATAGGTTTAGCAGGCGAGAAGGCAAGGCAGATTTATGGCTCTGGAGGTGACCTCTGGGGCCGTAACACGGTGATGGGTGAGTGGCTCTCAACGGTAAGCTACTGGCACTTGACAAAGTGCCCGAAGCAGAATGAATTTACTTCTCTTTTCCTCAATCATCAAGCAGCCACTGCCCTGACCCCCATCCTGACTGCTATAACAAGATCTCCCATCTCACAAGGGCCTGAAAAATTTACTGTCACATCTACTTTTCAATGAGCTCAAGTGAGCACTTCTTTCACCTTCAGCGGAGCAGGTGCCAGTGCACAGGATGGCTAGCTTGCCCATTGTGTTCATGTGTGTTTTATGTGTGTGAATAATAAGAGACACACACATGTGTGAAAGTACATAAAAATACTGTGTAGTCTCACTCATCAGATGCACAAAGCCGCAGTAAGGGTGCCAAGCAGGGACACAAAGGGCACTTCTATACAAATGTCAATAGACACTTGTGAAGTTTAGATTAGAAGTCAATCTACCTTAGCACATTGCTTAGCCACACACACAGCACAGAGAGACATTACAGAGGCTGCGTGTCCGCCTGCTTTCATCAGCACGATGGCAGCAGAGTTGAATTTAATGATGCTGATATTTTTTTATATGCACTTCATAAATCTTATGCACATGCACATTTAGATTTCACCTTTCCTGCACTCTGGTTTGTGAAGAGCAAAGACAATGGCCAAGACACAAACTAAACCAGGAGAGCTTATTCAGTCGAACAAAAATGATGACCACCACTGATAACAAATGCCCTTTTCACTTAAAAAATAGAAGGACAATTGTTAGAGCACTAAATCACTTAAATAAAAATGATAATGCAAATCAATATGCCGTAACTTTGACTGTGAAAGTTGGTTCAACATTTCATCTTGTCATATGAACTCTTTAAAAGCCAATAAGTAATCAAGCCTCTTTACTTTTAT